ATGGGAAAAGTTGAGAATGCAATTAATAGAGAGTGGATAGAATCATATGCGAGCTTGACCTTTTAATGTAGTAGGAATGACTTGATAAAGAAGTGCATAAAAAGTTTGAAGGATATGTATGATAGTCTTGTAGTGATCAATATGCTCAAAGGGATTTGATAATCCATTATACAAATAAAAAATGGATAACTTGAGCTCCCTGGAATGGGATGCTAGGGTGTTTCATCTATTAAAGTTGAAGACTCTTAAAAATTACATCAAGGAGTAATTTGATTCATATCCCTTATAAGAAATATCTCTTGAACAAGATGTCATAATTTATCTCAAATAATATTATGAGAGTATACATCAGTCAAGGCTAAGTAAAGGACACTAAGAATGGTGGAGAATTCCACATTGGCCAAGCAATGTGAGAAGTATAAGTTGAACTATTTGTGTTGATAGGTTCTGAGTTATGATACGGTGGAGGAGGAACTTGAGTATGACAATGAGGATAACTTCCACAAGTACCTTCTAATTGTTCATCCCCACTATAACATTGATTTTATGGATGTTGAGTTTCATCAAGCTATGGTGGTACTCTTTATTGGTCAGCCTCTTCAAATAGCTGAATGATTCTTGGTTGTTGGATTCATGGTTGATTTGACTATAAACTTGCATGCAATATTTGAAGATTGTTTGGTCCTTCAATTAATGATAAAAAGTTTTCAATTATTTTTAACGGCTTGATTTGGACTCATTTGGAGTACAATCGGATCACTTGTGATGTCGATAAAACTACAGGAAAATGTCATGTTACCGGCAGAATAATTCCGCCATAAAGTTACTGGCGTATATTCCGTCGGTTAGTTCACTGCTTTTTCCGGCGCATGTATGTTTGCCAGAAAGTCCGACGGTAATGACAGATTTTATGTAGTGTAAGTTCATTTTGTCCAGACATTTAGTTAGACTATAAGTTTTTTAAATCAAAGTTTGAATGGTCCTAAATTTAATTATGAAAGTTTTCAATTCAAATATTATCTCAAAATATTGATCAAGTGAAATTTTTGGATATATATATTGAAGGGATTTACATACATACCGCACAATTTATATATATTTACCATCTAAATTTTAATATTTACTATCTCAATCAAATCAAAATATTCTCATGAAATTATGTATGCTGCTTTATAAAAATTAATATTAGCAGTAGTTTTGATATAATTTAAAGATTTAGATATTATATAAGTAATCATCAAATTTTAAGTTTTAGGTATATAAATACATAAGAATCGTGCGGCATGAATGTCAATCTCAACTATGTATGTATATATAAAATGAACTGTACATGCAAGAGAAGAAATGTTCCAATGAAAATTTAAAGATACACTGGTAGTGTCTTATCTACAAACCCATCTGCCTTCCAAAATTTACCTCGGAACTTATTTCGTTAAAACTCCCTCGCCGAATAAGAAAAGCGAGCGGAGGCCGGGGACGAATTTTCGGAGCCCACAACAAGCAAGAGAAGAAATGTTCCAATGAAAATTTAAAGATACACTAACCTAATATGCAATACATTTTGAAGGTATACAAATTGAAGAGTAAAAAAGGATAGTTCATTTTGTATCTGAGCAGCATTGGAAGGGAGTAAAGGAAATGGCAGTTTATTTTACTCTCACACTTTGCTTCCTTTACCTTTCTTCCTGTACTGATGTCCTCTCTGGTTTGTTGCCCCTCAATTAAAATAATGAAGCATATAGTCAACAAAGAACAATAGAATAATTAAAGCCAATAATTTAGTAATAAACAATAAGTCCCTTTCAACAAGGTTGGAAATATTCAATGGAAGATGATTAATAATCGCTCTGTGTAACTTCTACAGATACTCAAATTATGGAGGAAGAAAGACAGAATGCAATTTGATTGTACTAAAGAGAATTTAATGTGATTTCACGTATTTATGAGCAGATATTTGAATGAGAAAGCACTACCACATATTTTCTGTCTAAAATTCTTCAGAGGTGGTTTGTTTTGAGATTCCATTAGGCCCCTTAGGATCTGTTTGTTATCGTTGTTGCTGTTTCTTAGCTCCATTATTGTTTGTTATCCTTGAGAGCAGAAACTGGAATGAGAATGTTCTGTACATTTCACTACTACATAGTTTCTGTCTGAAGTTCTTCAGAGGTTGCTTGGTTTGAGATTCCATTAGCTTAATGTGAAGATTAGGCCCCTTTGGGGCTGTTTCTTCTCCTTAGGGGCTGTTTCTTAGTTCCATTATTATTTAAATCCAAGCTTTATTAAATCCCATCATTCATCATAATATTTCGCAAATTTGATTATTTCCCTTATTCCTTAATATTTATTAAATCTGGATTTTGAGTATTTATAAATCCTACTTGTATGAAGAAAACTGAGGAATGAATTTAATTATAATAGTTCACAATAGACTGGTCTCTGCCACTTCTGTGAAATAGTGTATGTTAGATGCAGTGATGAAGCAAATAGATGATCCTAAATCAATCATCTCTGCTACCTTAACCTCTAAATATTTTTTAAAGGAGCTTTTCTAACTATGTTGCACTAATACACCTATTTATGAAAGCATGATGTATCTGATACACCGATACACGGATACGCCTCTGATAAGGCACCGATACGTGTTGGATACGGCAAAGTTGTATCCAATTAAAATACTATATAATTTCAAAAGAACACACATATCTAGAAAAACAAATAAAATTCGAAAAAAAAAAAGACCCGCCGTATTCATTTATACAGCTAAGACATGTAAAACGGGATATGGTTCAGTCTCTTGTTTAGTTCTTGACTCTGTACTATGTACTCGAACATTTCTTATCTTTCAGTTGACATTTGCAGGGAAACTTTAAGTGGGATTCCGAAGGATTTCTGAAGAAAAGTTTCAATTTTTTTCTACCTGATAAGTGGTTGAAGATCGGTTCTATGTAGAGAGAAATATTTGCCAGAGATTACTGCTGGCAAGAAGAACATAGCGTGTTTGTTATATATTAGTTCAAATATTCCCACCTCCTCCTTTGTCTTCTAACAATGATATATTTATTGTTACTTCAACTACTTTTGGTGGTTGCCCCCATTTTGACTAGATAACATTAATGTTTTTCTTACAGCTGCATTCGTTGAATATGTTCTGCTTCAGCTGGAGTAATTTTGTTTGTACAGCTGCGATCTTTGCTTTTACAGTTGGCTTTATGCAAAGTACTCAACAAATTTATGACCATTTAAATAGAACATGAAATCTAACCGTGGTATAAACGGGGGATAAACACATAGGAACATATTGACATCATTGTCCGGCAAAAAAAAGGGGGGAAGTCTGATCCATATTGGAAAGATAAAGACAATCATCAATGCATTAATCTAACAATAAGTTAGTCAACTTTCAAGAAGAAATATTGGCCTTAATATGAGATTTCACTGTGTGAATAATGAATCTTATGCTAGAGATACTTTTATCATTCTTTTCCCAACAAATTTTGTGTGGTAGAGCAAAGATGATAAGAAAGGAAAATAGCCGTGTAAGGATTTTCTGATGTATTTTGCATCAGGATGGGCTGTAAATTCCTTGAATTCAGGGGTGGAACTGTGTAATGGTGAGAGCGGGCAATTTCCCCCCTAAAAAAATTAAAAATCTTAGTATAATAAGAGTTATTTGTAATCTACCTCCTGAATTTTATTTTTTGTTCATAGACGACCTTTTTTTCACGCAATTTGCCCCTCCAAAAATTGGAAAGTCCCTTGGTCACCCACTATTTTCATCCAATTATGTTGAACTTTCTAACACTAACAAACAAGTACGTGAAAAACGATTATGTACAAAATAATTTATTTTTGCATCCTTATATATATATATTTTTTTTTTTAAAAATTTGCCACTTGCCCCACTTGAGAACTAAGGTTGGTTTTTGCCCAGCTTGAATTTGAGCTAAGATTAGTGCAGCCCTTGAATATTATATGTGACACTAATCTCATCACAAATCTAGAGACTTTGAAGTTCATCCTGATGCAAAATATATCAGGGTATTCTTACTATTGAATCTAGACTTGTTCTTATATCTCATCCAACAGTATTAAAAATACCGAGTGAAGAGAGAATTGAGATAAACAGAGAAAAGATGAATCCTAGAGTAAGAATATCTGATATTTCTATAAAGTAAGATTGATTATAGAAAATTGTTTAAATGAGCCCGCTCCTTGACCCCCTATTTATGGATTTGGGTTCGAGTTTGAGCATTATTCAAATACCCATATGTATAGAAAGATAACTAATTTATAATATTAAAGACCCAATCAACTCCTTCAGGCTTCATTTGGGACAGCTTTAGACCACTATTTTTTTACTGCTTTCAAGAAATTTTTATCTTTAAAAGCAACTTTACAAAACGTAAAGAAAATCGTCCCAAACGAATCCTTAATCAATGAAGTACAAATTCTTTCACTCATGCACATGTATCTTTTCTACTTTAAAGAGCTTGATTGTAACAAACAGTAGAAAGCAAGTATCAATCTCTATTGAAATTCAGTTCCTTCAGCTATATCAATATAACCAAAGAACATAATCTACCATACAAAAGTAACTCAACACCTTTCTTTCTTCCAGAAATCATTTAAACTGCCCAATTCCAAAACTAGAGCAGGCTCACCTATAAACTAATCATTTCCTTTCAATTGTCTCCATCAGCTCATCTTTTCTTATAACCTCTTAGTACAAAAGATGGCTAACCTCAACCAACTACTCCACACAAAAAATAAAAAATAAAAAATAAATCGAATTAACCCTCAAAATCCCTTTTGAAAAATGAAATTTTTAGAAGAATGCAATAAAATTACCCAAATCTTCTCACCTATCACATCATCAAAATGAAATTTAAAAAAATTGCTAAGTATAGGTCACCAATCTGAGCCCACCGCTCTCAAAATCCTCCATGTAAACCTCTTGTTAAACTACCCCTTCCAAATCATCTCTTATTTATTGGCATTCATAACCCTACTGCTTTAACTCAGAAACTTTCTCAGTTGAACCGCAGTAGATCATGGCAAAGGCATACAGGATCTGCACCATCTTACTCAGGCTCATGGCCATGGCCGCCGTCATCGCCGCCGCCGTCGTCATGGCCACCAGCCATGAAACCACCACCTACTTCAACCTCACCCTCAAGGCTGACTTCACACAAACACCTTCCTTCAAGTAATCAACTCAAATTCTCTTTATATTATTGTCTCTTTATCTCAAATCAAGCTTGAATTAACCTCAAATTGAGCCCTTGATTGCAGGTTCTTTCTCATTGCAAACTGCATCGCTGCTCTTTACAGCCTTTTGGCTCTCTTTGCCTCCTGGACTTTTATCCCTCCGAGATGGGTCATGGTGTTTGATGTGGTAAACATGAACAAGCCCCTTGTTTAATCATTTTCAGCTCAGCAATAACTAAATATGCATATATATGTACACGTAAAATGCATAGGCTTTATATTCGTAAATGATTTTTGTTCTTCTTGATAAATTAGCAAGGAGTAGAGGTGGAACCACATTGAACCGAGGGTCGTAGCCCATCCTCAAAATTAAAATTTTCCCTTCCTACTCCCCTAAAATTTTTTTTTTGCTCTATCTTAAAGTGTTTTGCACGCATCCCGCCCCGATCCAACTCGTTATGCTTGTCAAACTACTGCTTGGCCTCCGCCTCTCCTATGAACAACTAAAATCCCCCTCCACCTACGGTTCTCTGACCGCCTATCAATAGCTTTGCCTGCCCTTAAAAGTTAAAAGTAAAGCTGGTTCCACCCCTGACAAGGAGCATAAATTTGCATAATGAGTCGAAACAAACAATGATTAAACTCTGGCTCCTATATACACGCTAATATGTTATTTTTCTTGTTGAACTTAGATGATTGCGATGCTTCTGACGTCGGCGATGGCGGCGGCGTTGGCGATAGCACAGATCGGGAAGAAAGGGAACCAACACGCCGGATGGCTGCCTATATGTGATCAGGTCCCCAAGTATTGCAACCATGTCATGGGAGCCCTCATAAGTGGCTTCGTTGGCCTCCTGTTCTACACCATAATTGTTTTCTACACCATTAGTACAGAGCTGAATCCTCTTCTTTCAGGGAACAAATGAAAGCTCAGATGGTGGATAGTCACTTCTTGCAAGATAGATCAATTTTACAAAATTGTAGTCTTTATGGTTAATAAATGATTTAAATTAGTTTCATAATGCTTATGTTTATATGTTTGGGAGTTTATATGTGGATTTAGGAATGAAGTGTTGATGTGCAGTTTTGTATTGTATGATGGATTAGAGATTATATTGAATGCTGAAACTTTATTCAAAGGATTTTATATGTGATTATTATTTTTTGGATTAGGTAAACTAAATTACCTACTTAATTGATGTTGCGTTGCTTTGTTAATTGCGTGAAGAGGCATCTGTACAGGAGGCTGCTGGCGTTGGCTTGTTGAAGATTCCTTTTATTATTATTTTTTTTGTTTATGTCATTTTAATGATAAGCTATTTTTTCCGCCACAAAACAAAAAAATTATTTTATTTGATATAATTATTTTGGTGATGAATTATTTTGTTGTTAAATAAAAGGGGAAATAATGTTTTTTAATATTTAATGACTAAAATTTCATATTTATTCACATAATGCTTTTTTTATTTTTTATATTTTTTTATATTTTCGCATAATGCTTATAACTTTATATAGCATCAAAATGTTATAAGCAACAGTGATGTCTCGAACTCATTTTTCTCATTCGCACGTTACTGATGCTCTTCTCTAGAGGGATCTCTTTGTGACTTGCTTAGCTCTTTTTTTTTATAATAAAGAGTTCTTCACGTGTCATTGGTCTCATCGATAGCCTTCTCCAGCAAGTTGGCATCATGACATCTCGCCTTATGGCGTGATTTACACCTTTGTTGTCAATATACAGTTGTATATGCATTCACAAGTATTTAGTAGATAGCTCGCAGGTCATGACAGAGGAACTCGCCCTCAAGGAGGGCCCACAGTAGACCTCGCGACCTAACCACCCGAGAGGTGTTACTCATTTGGAACTCGCAAAAGAACTCGTCCACTATGTCAACATATGCTACTTGTTATAGCCCACACTAAGGAACCCACCCTTTTGCGGGGAAGATTGGAGATTCCTCATTTAACCAGTAGCTTGGCATTGTGTGCGTACTTGAATCGCCATTTCAATAACTTGCTCTCTCCCAGAGTGAACATTCTCATGTAGGTTACGTCAAGCTTGGCTACTGCAAAGCGCCTATTCATGAGACTCTTAACTCGTCTCATTGCAACCGTTCAATTTAAAGTTGCTCCTTTTCCACGACAACATCTCACTTGTCTTTTATCTTTTCAAGCAACTTGAGATATCTCATACAGGTCACCAACAACATCAGCTTGCCCGCTAGTCGCAGATCCCATCATCTCAGCACTAGCCCCAGCTTACTCGGTACTGCTAAACTTGCTCAGAGACCACTCATCAAAACTCTTCCGAAGCCCTCTTTCAGCCAATCAGAGGATGGCACATTTTTAGAATAGTCTATGTAGCATTGTACTTTTTTCTCTTTTGATAGAGCATTTCATGTAGCCTTCGAATCTTATAAATAAGAGGTGATGATAAATTGTTTGGGACTTCTTAACTAATTCTAGTGGATTCTATACTAGTTTGAGACTCATATTTTTCTTGAGCATTCTCCATATTTTTGAGTAAGAATTGGAACACCTCACTCAAAATTTATAAATAGATTATAATTACACTCATTTGAGATTTTTTTAACTTGAACTCTAACACCTCTACGAGAAGTATCATCTATATCAATATAAGACTTCGTTTGAGATGATTTTTTTACTGTTTATTGAAACAATTTTTTTAGTATAAATTTTTTATTTAAAAAATTTTTGTACTACAAAGCTGCTTTAAAAATCAATAAGAAAACTATCTCAAATAAAATCTAAGTTGCATCCACGGCTTATTTATTGTTATATTTATACCCAAATAAGAATACTCTTAAGTACCCTTAATCACCTCTACAACCTTATAACATCACCTCACTAGACTTCTTATAATCATGATTCATCTCTCCGAAAAGACTTTTCTTGCCTATAAGAACTCCACTTCTACTCCCTATACTTCCCCACCAAATGTGATATTTACAACAAATTGAATGTTATATCTAACTTGTAATCACTCCTTTTACAATTTCAATGAAGCAATGCCCTTTATAATTCAGAGTAATATTAGTGGAAGCTCTTATAAATAGCTTAGGCCTTATGATTTTTCTTCAAGTCCTTCACATACAAAATAATGTCTCACTTCCTTTGATTTATTTTTTAATCAAAACGTGTCCGTGGGTCTGGTCGGGTTAAACCAGTAACCCGCGTGGGTTGAGTATGAGTTGAAATATCTGACCCGTTTATGAAAACAGATCGGGCTCGAGTTGGGTCAATTAGGGTCGGGTCAGTTCCAAGTTGGATCCGAACCTGACTCGTGACTCAATTTTGACAGCCCTATCGCTTACTCCCTTTGACTTAATATTTAATTGTGTGTATAGTGTCGTTTATAGCTAAGACAATCAAAATTAGAGTTGTCATGCGACAATTAAAATCATATGTTATTTTATTAAGCTTGACCTTAGAATTGTATATTATTATGCTTATAGTATCATGAACTATATATACATCATTTGAGTAAATTTTTTAATTATTTTTTAATTGCATTGCTTAAAAAAGTTAACTTTATTGATGAATTGAGCTATTATTATAATAGCATTAAAAAAGATAGATTATTTTTATTCTTTAAAAATGGGTTAGTTATAGATATTTTTTCACAAAATTGTCGTAATATATAGATATATAATAATATTTTTTTAATATTTAATTATTTTTGTGTTGTATTTGCCCCCCCTCAAAATTGAAGCTGGTTCCGCCCCTGGGGGCTCCACTCCTTACACTTCCCTATCAAATGTGATATTTACAACAAATTGAATGTTATACCTAACTTGGAAGCACTCCTTTTACAATTTCAATGAAGCAATGCCCTTTATAATTCAAACTAGTATTAGTGGAAGCTCTTATAAATAGCTTAAGCTTTATGATTTTTCTTTTCAAGTCTTTCACATACAAAATAATTTCTTTCACTCCCTTTGATTTATTTTTTAATCAAAACTTGTCTACGGGTCTGGTCGGGTCAACCCAGTAGCCTGCACGGGATGGGTATGAGTTGAAATATCTTACTCGTTTGTAAAAATAGATCGGGTTCGAGTTATGTCAACTAGTGTCAGTTCAGTTTCGAGTTGGATCTGAACCTAACCCATGACCCGATTTTGATAGCCCTATCTCTTACTCCCTTTGATTTAATATTTAATTGTGTAAACTATTGTTTATAGCTAAGACAATCAAAATTAGAGTTGTTGTGCAACAATTAAAATCAAATGTTATTTTATTAAGCTTGACCTTAGAATTGTATATTGTTATGCTTATAGTATCATGAACTATATATACATCATTTGAGTAAAATTTTTAATTATTATTTTTTAAATTGCATTGCTTAAAAAAGTTAACTTGATTGATGAATTGAGCTATTTTTATAATAGCTTTAAAAAAGATAGATTATTTTTATTCTTTAAAAATGGGTTAGTTATAGATATTTTTTCACAAAATGTTATTTTATCAAACTCATTTTCTTTAAATTTAATTATATGAATTTACTGAAATTTTAATATGAATTAATCATACATAGAGAAAAAAAAAACTTTGATGATTATTCTATATCTTTATATATAGTGAGATAGATAATTAAATAATTTCATGATTAATTTGAAATTTAAGCTATAAATTCTCTTGTAATTTTGTATTGTGTAGAAACTTCTAATTTTGGGCTCTCAATTGAAATTCTAATTCCACTTCCACCACTATATATAAATAGTCAAATCGCATTAAAAAAGTTTTCATGTATAAAAATACATCAAGAATAATTTTGATAGATTTACTTTCAAAAATATTACTTTGAAGTAGTACTTTAAGTATGGGGCAATGCCTATTTCTTCACATTTGGTTAGCTACTTTTACGTGCTATTAAACTTATGGTTGTGGAGTGCTTAATATCTTAACTTTATATAAATATTCAGCATGAACTGATAAAAATTGTAAGATATACTATTTTTTTTTTACGTAGAAATCCACGAAGGTGAAAACCATAGAGTCTGATCAAATTGCAATCAGACACTTCATAGTCGTAGATATAAGAATATGCTATTCTTCACAATAGAAGAATATATAATTAAATAGCTAGCAATAATTACCTAGTTTTTTTATTTAGGACTTACAGAAATGAGGTATCTACGAGCGCGCAGTTGAAGTCTGATAATGGGATAGAATGTTAGTTGTCAAGTGATGATAGTTAGATGATGAATGTCTGATGATGATGGTTGGGACTACTGATGACAGTCATCAACGATAATAGCTGAAAAATGCAATATAGTTCTTTAGCTCTTTCAATTCAAATCTCATTCACATAGAAAATGAGACTATTTATAGTTTATTGGGAGTGGTATTTTAAAAATTTTGGCTAAAATCTAAAACACTTCATTAAACAATCCATATTAATCATAGAAAATTTATTTAGTATTTGAGAATCCTAATGATACAGAATTAAATGATATTGTATTCATTACATTCTCCTCATATAGCCGATTGATTTAATTTTATACAATTGTGAATAATTGTCTAATTTTTATGAAGAAGCCAGGTGTCAACTGGCAAACATTTAAAGTCTATAACAAGATGGAATGTTAATAGTCAAGTGACAATAGTCAGATGACGGAAGTTAAGTGGTAGTTGAAGAGATTGTTGAGGATGGTTGTCAAGTGTCAGTGCAAGAAAATGTAATAGAATTATTAAACTCTTGTAACTCTTAAATTCTTTTTTCATGTGAAAAATGAGTTCCTATTTCTAGCATTTTGAGAGGTGATTTGGCAAATTTGTCCAGATTTATTAAAAAAAAAAAACTTCACTTAATAATCCATATTAATCCATTTGATCATAAAGTATTTAATTATTAAGTATTTATTTCTTTAATATTCTCATAATTGAATGATCTAGAGCTTGTTGGATTCATTTTATTGATCAACATGATTTGACTATAAATACATAATATTTAAAAACCATTTGGTCTTTCAATTAATATCCCAAAGCCTCAAAATATGTTTCAAGTGCTTGATTGGAGTTTATTTAGATTCAAATCAAACCACTTCATTTGATTCTTCTTGTTGAGATGTTCGGATCCGGTATAAATTTGTTAATTTCAATTTTTTTTAAATTTAAATATTACTTTGAGATTCATGCACTCAA